CTTCTGTTACAAAGTGAATGTTTTCTCTTTAAGCTAGCCAGTGTTGGTGATGATTAGATAGCTAGCAGTAATGACTATGATGATTAAATAGTGGTAATTAGACGACTACGATGATTTTTAGCTAGCTAGAGTTTATTTATTTATTAATATGCGATGCTGCTGATGATGATGATGATGATGATGACGACTACAACTCATTATAACGTAAAACAATCCTAAATTAAATTGATAACACAAATTTAATTAAAAAATGAAAAATAAAACAAAAACCCACAAACATTTAGTACCGGTTGGTGTTACCAACCGGTACTAAAGAGCTCCCGGCCCCCGGAGCTGGCTCGTGCCACGTGGTTTCCCTTTAGCACCGGTTCATGCTGAACCGGTACTAAAGGGGGGGGGGCTTTAGTGCCGGTTACTAAATCGGCACTAAAGGGTCTTACGAACCGATGCTATTGCTCGGTTCTGCACTAGTGGCACATGAATGTATAGCATAGATGTCAAAACAAAGTCTGCACATGAATGTATAGCATAGATATCAATTACAACAACATACAGTTTAGGATCATGGAGTCAGTCAGTATGTACATTGTTTTTGGAAGTTTCTTGGTGATACTAAACAGATCTTAAGTACCTAGCAGCTCTTACTAAGAGAGTTCCAGCACTGTACAGAATACGTAAAATTTACAAAAATCAACTCGCATATGTTCTTTATTACTTAGTACATCAATTTAGCAAAGGGATGGCACTAAGATAACCCGGTGGAATAAGTATGAGAAAGAACTACCAAGAGCTTAACTTGGGCATTATTTCCGATCTTCCCTGTGGCTTTGATAGATACTATACTAAGGTGCGGCCTTCTCGACCTTCTGAACACTCCATGTATGCAAAGAGCACTATCAAAAGAAATTCCATTAAAACTTGCATAATTTATGCTTCTAAGACGCACATATTGTTATTGGATTAGTGCATGAGAATAAAATTGAAAGAACAGATTGAAGTTGATAAAACCATATATTTTACTTGTAAGAAACGTATACAGGTAGATTTAACAAACCAAGAAATTAACTCTCCAAAATGACTTATCCACTTTCCAACAAAATTAAAAGAGATGCCTGATTTCCACACTTTAGTGAACTGAACCCCCCAAATAAATTGAAAATTTTAGCACGCCTAAATCTTACCCACGGCGGTATCTAGACAGGTCTGAAACTAATGAATGCATGTCATGAAACTGTACATGCTCATTATAGACTAATTCTCATACTGCAGGAGGTGGTACTAATTTGGGGACATATGACACATGCACGCACGTCCGTCGAGCACAGCCCGTGTTGTGTCGCTGTGGCCCATCTTATATCTTAGTTGTAGCCCGTTTAAAACACACACACCGGCGGGCTGACTGCAGTCCAGGAAAATAGAAGGAAAAAGATTTGCTCTCCAGAATCAAACTAGCGATCTCCAATGTAATAATGTACACGGCCATGTGAGATAACGAGGGAAGGTTAAACTAAACGGAATTAAAGGAGGACGATGAAGGTTCTAGCACACGGACGTTATTAAAGGAGTTAGGAAGGCAAGGCTCCGGGCCTCCGGCGCATGGCGTCCTTGAATTAAGCGGATTCATCCATATTTAAAAAAATAGAAAGGTTGACTCACGATGTGGGCAAATTAAATGGATTCATCCCTAATAAAAGAGAATTACAGGAGATTAGGAAGAAGGGCGCACGACGTGGCCAAATTCAATGGATTCATCCGTAGAATAATGAAAAAAATGTACATTGTTGCATGATGATGCCTTAATTGGTTTCTAATTACTAAGCAGGATTTTGCTTGGTCTTCAACGGCAGGCTTAAAAGCATAGCCGGGAACTGCTTTCTTTCCTCACTAGAGGCTAAAATAGGCCTCCAACAATTCATATGGTAATGACAGAAAATATTGTCCCCATGCAGAAATTGCTACAAGTTAAGTGGTGCTAATTTGCGGCAGCACTAGCGATTCTAAAACCAAAAGCAATATGGGAAGAGCGGTTGAGGATTTGTGTCGCGGTCCCTCGGATGTGATTTTATTTCTGGCGTTCGATTTTCAAACTTTTATATCTTTTAAATGAAAAGTTTAAATTAAGTTTTGTTTCTGAATTCGTATTTCTCGTGACGAGGGATTTCAAATAAGATCCATCTTAAATATCTTTGGATGGATTTTAAAATTAAATGTTAAGTTTAGCACGCAAACAATAAAATCACAATTTTCGCGCCTATGACCGACAGAAAAAAAAGTCTTAAAATTTTATCTATAATTTTGGAAAAAGCGAATGAGAAAATAGCAAGTTTCAAATAAAAAATCAAGTATCAACGACCGAAACTTCAAATTTAATGTTTCCTCGTGCGTGATCCAACTACTTCACAAATCGCGTGGCAGTCGAGACAAAAGTTCAGCAAATCCAAAAATACTGTTGGCCACACATAGGGCTCAGGGTCCTACTGTGCAATGGGATTCTACTATTGCAGTGAGTTTATTGCAGTGAGTTGTTTTGATTCTTGAATAAATCGTTCTGATATTATTGTACTGCGCTGGTGGACATTTTCATGAACTAGCGGTTTCTTTGTATGAAGCACGTGGCGTTATATTTGCATATATAGTTCTCACTAAATTTGATTATAGGTCAGTTTTCTCCCCCGTTGCAACGCACGGGCATTTGTCCTAGTAGGTCTAAACAATGAGTAAATCATGTCTAATATACATCAGACTGCGATTGAGGAACAGTGAGGGAGGAACTATGGCGTGTGTAACTACCTTATGAAAAGAGTATGTGATAGAAGATTAAGATGATTAGAACAGACCTCCAAGAAGGTTAGAATAATGGTGGAGTCGTCATCCTTGAGTAGGCTGCAGATCTCACAAAATGTATTGCCCGCTGAACATTGACAAATGAACTAAAACACCAAGGAGATCATGGAAGAAGATTTTCTACAGAGGTATAAGCATCCATAGTGCGAACAGTGGCGGACGATGGACAGATTTTAAGTCAAATATGTGTTTCACAAATCATAGCACCAAAAGAGTACTAAGAATTGAAGATCTGTAATTGATAGAAATTTAGAGTGCACTATGAGACATTCATAAATTCAGGAAAACAAATCTGTACCTGCCCCCAGCCCCTTTGTCTCTCCAGCCTTTCCTGTCCATCTTCTTGATGGCTGCACCCGAGCCAGCCACCAGTCCTACAGCCCACGACCTGATCCTCTTTGTTTCCCCTTCTTCTTCCTAGGTCTTAGTGATGAACGAAAACAACCATCCTACCTTGTCCTACGGGGTCAGCCGTCCAGTGCACGAAGCCCATCGAAGAAAATATCTCCTAACTTGATTCAAATTTTAACTACTCTAACAACAGTAAGAAACAAAATAAAATAGGTTAGTTTATCTGTCCTATGGTAAGTTTTGCGGCAGTGGACTTGGACTGAAGTCTGAAGCCATTGCTGAGAGTATGGAGAAATCTAACGCTATGCAATTGAAGTGAAATTTGTGGAGGGGACAGATAGGACGACATGGACCACAAAAAGAGAAGATTGCGCCTAGAAGGAGATTGGGAACGGAGATAATGGAGAAAGAAGAAAGAGGAGGCCGTGCTAACCCATGACATCGTTGATGGCTGTAAGAAGAGAGATTTGAGAGCCAGGGAGATGGCTGGGTGAGCAGTAGATGAAGGAGGTGGCGATGGCCTGCACGTTAGCAATTGTGCGAGAGGTGGAGAGGAGGATTGTGCGGGAGGTGGAGAGGAGGTGTGAGCGGTTCTTTGATTATAGATAGGGATCCGGCTTGCCTGCTCCCTCCCTGTGCTCTCATTTGTGCTCCCACTTCATCCTACGGCTGTCTTTTTTTCTTTTTTTCTTTCTAATCTAATCATCTCCCCCTGATTTTAAGGGGGTGGGGCCGGGCCTTATTTTGTTCCAATTAAATCAAGCCACGTAGACGGAAGCACGGATGGGCACATGGCGGGGGAGCAGGCAAGACTCATCCGATAGATTGACCTAGAAATATTGGGTAGATCCAAACCGTAATTATTGGGGCCCACAAGATAAACGGCTCCTAATTACTGATTAACATGGTAATTCCTTGGGAGTCTGTAATTAGTATAAATAAGTATAAGTATATAGATCGTGTGTGTTATTATCGGTCTTACCACACAATTCTCCATCTGGGCAATTGTTTGTGTTATTTTGACTCATTGTAGATAGTTCAGTCGAGTGACCTATATGCCGTCTGTCGCACACATCTCGATTTGGGTAACCGTTTGTGTTATTTTGGCTCATTGCAAACAGTTCATCTGAGTGACATGCATGCCGTCTATCGCGCACATCTTGATCTGGTTAATCATTTGTGTTCTGCTGTATCATCTCAAACAGATCGTATGGATCGAATGTATTGCCACGTATCGCACACACAACTCTTATCTGAATCATGCTCGATGGAGCATCCATCACACACAGTTCATTTTATTGGATACATTTTTATAACCATACCGTTTGCGATTCATGCATCGCACACAGTTTGATCGAATGGTCTTCTATACATGTGTCGTCTTAGGACCTTCCTACATTAGTGTGAGTTCTTCCTCTGGAAAGCCCCTGGCTGATCATCTCTAAAAGGGGGTAGCACTACTCCCCGGTGCGGTAGCTATACACCGATAAGAGCAACACGGGATGAGAGACATCTCTTAGAGGGGTTTTCCTTCATCCGCACACGTTTGAACAAGTCATCAAAGCTCAGTGCAATAACAATATCAACTCACGTGATCATTGAGATTTATACAATAAATACATTTGAACCATGCAATAGAGAAAATAACATTTAGGCATTTATATAGATATAAACCATAGTACAATATATGCCTATTTCATGCATGGGCATGCATCACGCTATATATTGGAAGTGTTAAAAGAGATAAAACATACACTTCTTTATAATATGCATGCAATATTAAAGAGGTGAGTATGTGGTTGTATCTATGGATCAGCCGGGGGAAGGGGAGTAATCCATGAGCCACCTGAGATGAAGCTTTTGCAGGTAAAGGGCTTGGCCTGAGCCTCAGTTAGGGATAGGGCCCATCCAGCCTTCTTCGATGCATCTAACCCAGGCCCATAGCATTTGAACTCACCATAGTAGATCCCACTGGTGTGTGATGAAGCAAGCAAAAAAAATGTGTTAGTTTGATCAATCCTATATATGAACTAAAGCCACATGGATTAGTGATGTTAATAAGTACCTCTTAGGAATTGTCATATTCCCCTTTTCCCATATGATGGGAACAATTTCGCTGTCCATCTCGGTGGAGTACACAACCTGCGAGAAGTTCCCTGATGCCCTTCCTAAGAATAATGGTTTCCCCTCACCCTTAATGGTACAATTCTTGAAGGAGAAACCACTCTCACTGTTGATACGGCTCTCGCTAGCCCACCCCTCTTGTGCCACTTTCATGTTGGTGATATCCTTGTTAGTAGAGATGATACTACAGTCCTCATACAAAGATCGTGTGGACCCAAAGATGAAGTCGACACTTCCCTTGATTGTAGAGGCCTTGAAGTAGTGAAGCCCCTGATGGTCATACAAGGCTCCCTGGCCGCCCTCGATCGTGCAGTTATAGAAAATTGCCTTTGTGCCCGTCACATGCAATGCAGTGGCTTGCACTTGTTTCTCGCCCGCCTTGGCAGGAAGTGCATCATTCTTGATGATAATACCATAGGCAATGAAATAGTCAGACTCTATGGTGACAGTGCTACTACCACGGGAGGTGAGGACCTTGCCATCCTTGCCCTTGGTCATGGCAGTATCATTCCAGACGATAATAGCAGGGTTGGAGGGATCGGACTTTAGCGTGATGAAAGGCTTACCTTTCCCAATGAACACCTTCTCACGGAACATTGTTCCGGGCTTTAGGTTAAACATATGTCATCTAGTGTTGTCATTGGGGACGTTGGAAATGCACTCACTGATGCTCTTGTACATGCCATCTTCACCGCCAAAGATAGTGTATGGATCAACGCCATTACCAATCCTTGAGGCTTCTGCTGTAGAGAGCTTGGAGTCAAGTGTCGATGTGGCTACGCTAGTCTTACTCTCTTGCAATGTCACCCATTGATCAAAACCATCTTGTCGTGACAGCACTGGAAACAACGCACGCATGAGCAACCCCATGAACAACGAGAGATTCTTCATCCCCATGATTGATGCAATATGCAAGGTGTGCTTTCTTCTCTTTGTGGCTAACGATTTATTGAGTTGGGGTATATATAGTTCACATTGGCAGGTAATGAAAGGACGAGCAAAGAACAAGCAGAGAGAGTGGTCTTGAATCAATTCTCCTCCCGAAGTAGGTGCATGACCCTCAGTTTTATGGATGGTCTGCATTGCCTTTACCAGATCATTGACTAGATGACACATGTATTTCTTTCTCCTTTTATTCCATCAACCGAGATACATATTTACAAAGTAAAATTCATGCATCCCTTCGTGTTGCATGACAAACAATCGGTTACATGGGACATTCTCGGGGACAAGGATATCTTATGCACGTACGTGCCATTATTTTTTCAAGAACATGCAAGAGCATTGCATGTATTTTCCATTAAGAAGAGGGTTCAGCATGCATGCATTCATGCATGGTGTTTGGTGTGTGCTAGCCGGTCTCCGTGATTTCAGCAAAACCATAAACTTGCTGGTTCATTCATGTAATGTAATGTACGTGTGTGTAGGACTCAAGTACGGGCTAAAAGTGTGCTGCGGCACCGATGGGCATGGGTCGTACAACTACAACAACGGGAACATTCGTGGTTGTTTGGGGCCTTTCGTGTTACTCATCAGAAAAGAAAAACTATGCATCAGTGTCACATATATAGAGGTATGTTTTGTGGAGGAGAGACCATGTCTCCAGAGCTTCCCTGAAGATGCATTCATGAGCTATGATGGTGTCGTGCAACGCCTCTAGTTAGGAATGCAATGCGCCTTTTTTTGTTCCCTCGCTCTCCATTGATATTGGATGGGATTCATCATCTAAATCATGGTGGGAACTTTATTTGCTCGCATCAGGAGTGTGAGAGATGAATGCACTCTAGCTGATGCTAGCTACTCGATCCTGTTGTCAACTGACCTCATGGATTCATCAGCCACCTACAACAACAATTTAATTTTAATCGAGACAAAAAATATTGTTTGTTCTAACAAAAATAATCTTAGTACAGTACTACGGGGAGGTGAAGTTCCAGGAACTGCCTGCTGGCAACTACATCACTTTTTCAGCCTTGAAGATTCACCAGTACACCGCCATCGAATTTCTACAAAGAAACCCGAGCGTCCTACTCTTTTGATTGACTGTAGGAGTAGTGTACATAATTTGCACTGGGCCTCCGGGGTCCAGAGCAAACTGCACATAAATTGCATGGAGTCGGCTTCACTCAACTCCGGCCTCAAAACCTCAGTTCAGGGGTGGCTCAACTAAATAAATTCAGCTCTGATCCAATTTATTCTTCCTTTTCCATGCTAGATAGTACTATGAAGTATGAACATGTACTGTTTCTATATTTGGTTTTCAGCTACCAAGTCTCTAATTAAACTTGAGTTCTGATCCCTTTTCTTCCCCCTTTTTCATGCTACTCCAGCTGCACTAACACAACCAGGCAAAAAACAAGATAAATTCGGTAGAATATTCACCACGTCTAGATGCACCTATCATTTCTAATCAGCAGCAGTTGCACACTTAGCTGATAAATATGAGCAGACTACTATGGCGTACTCCCTCCGTTCGGAATTACTTGTCACAAAAATGGATGTATCTACAAGTAAAATACATCTAGATACATTTATTTTTTGGACGAGTAATTCCGAACGGGGGGAGTAGCAGGTAAGGAATTGGATTGACTAAGTCATGTCCTACAGAAAAATGCAAGTTAACTGGAGATGTTCCACTTCACAAAAAAAAACTGGAGATGTTACGGCATTCAAACATGCTAATGGCCAAGCAAAATATTCAGATATACTGGAAACATCTGTAGTTATACGCCTATACCTTAATGGCACACTTTACTGTAGTAAGCTGTTTACATGCAAAAGTATTAAAAGTTGATATACCCAGACCATCGTAATTCATGCATGTCTGTGCCTTCCAAGTGATGTGCCCAACATGCTTCTGCTAGAGAATGGCTATGGGGAGTAGGCATGACCCATATATATCCCTTTGACTAAAGTTGGGCAATTTGAGGTATGGCTGCTGGTTGTGCAAAAAAAATTCTGTCTAGCAATTGTATTAATTCTACTGGGAAACATGCCCATGCATTGTATTATATCTCATAACTCATATACATGTCGCGTAGATGAGACTGTGCGTGTGGCAGCCCTGTCACCTCGTACTCGTAGTATACCTACCCACTTCCGTCACTGCACTTGACGGCCATATCTTCCGTGGATGTGATTTTGTCCAATAGACAAACACCGAACATCTCAAGATAATCCAAGTTTCTCTTTATCCTCTTGATGAATGAAGTTTGGCCCCAAACCTTGCCAAAAATTCTTACATATTTTTCCCAAACTCCACTAAAATCTCATGATTTTGGACACTTCTAAACTATACCTCTAGTTTAAATCCATTGATTTAAGTTCAAGTGAATTAGAATTCAACTTCATCCAAAATTGCTGGAAGCACCTCCGTGGGTTTGGAAATATTCCAGTAAACTCTGTCAACAAGTTCCACCTTTTTCGAGAAGTCCTACCCATTGCCTTTGTTCTTATAAAAAAATAGAATTTTTTCTTCTCAATTTCTGCAATTGTGAAAAGGCAAGAGGAAAAAAGAAAAAGAGAAGCCCAACAGCAGCCAGCCGACCCAAGGCCCAAAGCTCGTCCTGGCTTAAAACCCTAGCCCCACTCTCGTTCGACCCCCTCGTCCTCCCTCAGCGCCGTCACAGAGACTGAAGGGAATATGCCCTAGAGGCAATAATAAAGTTATTATTTATTTCCTTATATCATGATAAATGTTTATTATTCATGCTAGAATTGTATTAACCGGAAACATAATACATGTGTGAATACATAGACAAACAGAGTGTCACTAGTATGCCTCTACTTGACTAGCTCGTTAATCAAAGATGGTTATGTTTCCTAACCATGAACAAAGTGTTGTTATTTGATTAACGAGGTCACATCATTAGTTGAATGATCTGATTGACATGACCCATTCCATTAGCTTAGCACCCGATCGTTTAGTATGTTGCTATTGCTTTCTTCATGACTTATACATGTTCCTATGACTATGAGATTATGCAACTCCCGTTTACCGGAGGAACACTTTGTGTGCTACCAAACGTCACAACGTAACTGGGTGATTATAAAGGAGCTCTACTGGTGTCTCCAAAGGTAGATGTTGGTTGGCGTATTTCGAGATTAGGATTTGTCACTCCGATTGTCGGAGAGGTATCTCTGGGTCCTCTCAGTAATGCACATCACATAAGCCTTGCAAGCATTGCAACTAATGAGTTAGTTACGGGATGATGTATTACAGAACGAGTAAAGAGACTTGCCGGTAACGAGATTGAACTAGGTATTGGATACCGACGATCGAATCTCGGGCAAGTAACATACCGATGAAAAAGGGAACACCGTATGTTGTTATGCGGTCTGACCGATAAAGATCTTCGTAAAATATGTAGGAGCCAATATGGGCATCCAGGTCCCGCTATTGGTTATTGACCGGAGATGTGTCTCAGTCATGTCTGCATTGTTCTCGAACCGTAGGGTCCGCACGCTTAACGTTACGATGACAGTTATTATGAGTTTATGCATTTTGATGTACCGAAGTTAGTTCGGAGTCCCGGATGTGATCACGGACATGACGAGGAGTCTTTTAATGGTCGAGACATAAATATTGATATATTGGAAGCCTATGTTTGGATATCGGAAGTGTTCCGGGTGAAATCGAGATTTTACCGGAGTACCGGGAGGTTACCGGAACCCCCTGGGAGCTATATGGGCCTTAGTGGGCTTTAGTGGAAAGGAGAAAGGGGCAGCCCAAGGTGGGCCGCGCGCCTCCCCCTCCCCTAGTCCTATTAGGACAAGGAGAGGTGGCCGGCCCCCCTCTCTCTCTTTCCCCCTCGGGGAATCCTATTCCAACTAGGATTGGGGGGGGGGGGAGTCCTACTCCCGGTAGGAGTAGGACTCCTTCTGCGCCCTCCTCCTGGCCGGCCGCCCCCTTCCCCTTGGATCCTCTATATACGGGGGCAGGGGGGCACCTCTAGACACACAAGTTGATCCTTGAGATCGTTCCTTAGCCGTGTGCGGTGCCCCCTGCCACCATATTCCACCTCGATCATATTGTAGCGGTGCTTAGGCGAAGCCCTGCGATGGTAGAACATCAAGATTGTCACCACGCCGTTGTGCTGACGGAACTCCTCCCCGACGCTTTGCTGGATCGGAGCCCAGGGATCGTCATCGAGCTGTACGTGTGCTAAGAACTCGGAGGTGCCGGAGTAACGGTGCTTGGATCGGTCGGATCGGGAAGACGTACGACTACTTCCTCTACGTTGTGTCAACGCTTCCGCAGTCGGTCTGCGTGGGTACGTAGACAACACTCTCCCCTCTTGTTGCTATGCATCACCATGATCATGCGTGTGCGTAGGAAATTTTTTGAAATTACTGCGTTCCCCAACAGTGGCATCCGAGCCTAGGTTTTATGGTTTGATGTTATTTGCACGAGTAGAACACAAGTGAGTTGTGGGCGATATAAGTCATACTACCTACCAGCATGTCATACTTTGGTTCGGCGGTATTGTTGGACGAGACGACCCGGACCAACATTACGCGTACGCTTACGCGAGACTGGTTCTCCCGACGTGCTTTGCACATAGGTGGCTTGCGGGCGACTGTCTCTCCAACTTTAATTGAACCGAGTGTGGCTACGCCCGGTCCTTGCGAAGGTTAAAACGGAGTCTATTTGACAAACTATCGTTGTGGTTTTGATGCGTAGGTGAGATTGGTTCTTGCTTAAGCCCGTAGCAGCCACGTAAAACTTGCAACAACAAAGTAGAGGACGTCTAACTTGTTTTTGCAGGGCATGTTGTGATGTGATATGGTCAAGGCATGATGCTGAATTTTATTGTATGAGATGATCATGTTTTGTAACCGAGTTATCGACAACTGGCAGGAGCCTTATGGTTGTCGTTTTATTGTATGCAATGCAA